TCAATATACTATTTATGGCACAGAGGCAAGAGGTGACCGTACCACCACTCTGTGAGAATAAGATGAATTGACTATAGTCACAGGGTAGAGTCTGACGGTGTGCTCCCCCCGCTCCCGACCTGACCTTTTCCCGTAACCCTGCTCAAGCGATAACCACCAGTGGTGGTCGTGATGGATGCATCTGGTTGCGATGGATACATCCGGCTCAAAGTGGATTCAGGGGAGACAGATAACAACACAATAGCCAAGGGCTAATTTATGGCAATGCATCCACCTAACCACAATGCTGGTCAATGTCCAACTCAAGCCAAATTTGGAAGAAACTAACATCTGCAGTCAATATGTAAATATGACTACAAGTCAATCATCTTACCCCCATAAATAGACAGCAGCCCAAGAGCCCTTTGAGCTCTCCTGCACGGCAGTGGGCTGCATGCCAGCATCTCCCCTTGAGTAGGGACACCTCTCAAGGTTACTCCTCGAGGTTGAGAGATTCCTTATGACATCAGATACTCGGTAAGTGAATTAGGAATAAGCGCGCTGAAACTTTGTAACCTTAGCTAAGTGATATAAAGGACTGATTGCGCATATATAATCCTTTAGACATAAACCATTGACCAAGTCCGGGACTAAGTTTGGATCCAGCCGCACCTAGACTCCTCTAAGAAGGAGTTTATAGAATGCAAGAGGGTCCTCTCTGAACCTCGTGACTCAACGGGAGGGTCTCCCTAACAATTTTGTCTGACCCATCCTCTATGCAGTAAATAATCAAGTGTACCTTGCCATCGAATCTTGTTAAACCACTGTTGCATTTACTATCAAACTTTGTTAAATCACTGTTTTATATCAATAAACACATCGCTGCTTCTCTCTTACGAGTGAAGTGCATCACTCTTTCTGCAACATTGAACTGGCGAATCACTTCCTCAAAGATAGCAGAAGAGAAACAAAGATGTTGCGACTACTTCTTCCCCATCATGAATCATGATTTGATTTAATTACACAAGCTAGCAAGCTTTAACAGATTTACACAAAACTCTCTGCTCTCCTCCTTTTTGGGGTTTTGATGTATGGCACGGCACCATAGTACTCAACCTCATTATCAGTCTTAAGATTTCCACAGAGATATCAAGCTCTAGAAGAAAAATCTCAAACTGCAACACTTATCCCAATAGCAAGTAGTTCTACAGCTGCATCTCACCGACTGTGGCATTAGTTCCCAGGTATCAGCGAACCATGCAACAATTTTTAAAAGCTGGTTTAAAATTAAAGCATGGAATTGAAGCAATGTTAAATGAAAGAGAGGAGTGCTTTAAAGGAACTAGTGAAAACCACATTCTCAACCTAAAAAATGGCATTTGACTTTTTGCTTTTAAGAAAGTGTCAGTCAGGCTGCTTTACTGCGATTAGCGCTGTCATACAGGGACAAAGTAGCATCACAATTTCCTAAATAGAATAAGATTAGTATTTGTTCTCTGCAATAGAGACTTTCTTCCCTATTCATGCTTCCCAATCAAAGAAACAGTAACTAACAAACCCACATAATGCTTGATCTACAAAGCCATTACAAGACACCTGCTCTAACAACGATAATGATTCGGGGCACTCCAGTTAACACAAGTCAGCTCTCAAAACTACTCTCAAAGGCAGCACTTTTAGAACAGTGTCCAAATGTCCAAAACAGTTTACCAGAAAAGATCAAAATGCTCTAAGCCTACTGATCCTCAGGTTTGACAGTAAGAACAACGCCTTTATCATAACATTTTTTCTAAAGAATAAAAATGAATGAAAGTCTGGCAGTATGTCCAAAAGACAACATAGGATTAAGCCAGATAACTGGCTTCCTTTTGAGATACTTCCTCTTTTACAGTCCAGGTACAGCGTCTAAAGACAATTTTGAGATAGGCAATTTAAAAGATTACGAGTCCAACACTAAGCTTAAAAAGAAGCCCAAACAGATTAAAAAAAAAAAAATTCACATCGAGCATCCTCAGGATACAAAACTCTGGCCTGCTAAATTACACTTACTGTGTAAGAAGTACTTTGGCAAGCTGGATCCAACTTGATCTCCTTACACTTATGCAAAAACAGTTCCCGTTCAGGCACACTGCCATATTGCTTTGGATAACAAAGATAATCAATAACCATTTTTCAAAGAGGAAATTTCTATTTTTTTATTTGGTACTTGCTCAAATTGAATCAGGAGGCTGGTTTAGACTCAAGAGTTAGCCTACAAAGGCATCAAGACAACATGGGTCCACAGGCACACATCCACATACAGTATAAAAGTGTTTTAAAATGCCATACACATACAGTTTTGAGACCATATCTGTAATTTTTACACTGTTTTTATGTTTTTAATAATTTTAATTAAAGAAATCCCAAAAGTAAAAAGGTAAGTAATGTGATGAGCTGACCCACCAGCCAGAGCAGGCAAAAATATACCCCAAACCATTGTTTGGCTCCAATTCCCACATCAGTTAGAATCATTGAATGATTTAGGTTGGCAGGGACTTCAGGGGATCATGCAGCCAAACCCCCTGTTTAAAGCTGGGTCACAGAATATCTCAAGTTGGAAGGGATGCATAAAGGATGATCGGGTCAACTGCTTCCCTCTAGGCACAGTCTTGCCACACTCATTGTCCTCTAGGCGCAGTCTTGCCTTAGCACTTTGCTTCCTGTACTTCACAACTCTTGTGTTTTTCCTTCCAGAGTGCCTGACTTCTGCTCCACGGAATTATTTCCCATTCAGGTTTCTTCTAACTGTACCTCAATAAAAAAAGAGCTCCTTCCTATGCGTTTAGTCTGCTTCCTTTCCTCAGGAGACAGGAAGACATTCATGGCATTTCCAGTCAAGCATATGATTAGGAAATACCTGATACCTATATGAGTTTAAAGCATTCAAGGGATGCTGGAGGCAGTCTGATAGGCAAGCATGTGTCCCCAGTGCTCTGTACCCTGCTATAATAGGGTATTTGAAACAGGCACATTTACAGGTATAACACAGGCCAGTTACAGGTATAAAACTTGTCCTCATACCAACATTTTCTTCTCTGCTTTTTTCATGCCTTGAAGCTAATATACATCGCAAGAGCCTTAGAGTGGTAATTTGTCATTTGGTGCCTGAAGGGCAGAGGACAGCATGTCATTTAGAGGCACTTGAGCCCTGTAGGCTTTGACTCCCTTGATCTCATGCTACATCATTTAGGCTTGCCATGCAAAGAAAATACAGTATTTGTGCCAGGTAATACGAGAATTTGGGGTTGTAATGGGAAGTATGTGGTTAGGTAACAAGTTCTATAGAGTTAAATATTTAGATTTATGCCCATGAGATGAGGAGTGTTGCATAAAGGATGCTGAGAAAGGCTGACATGGGGATTTATTAGCAAGGTCTGCAGCTGACGGCATACCTTGACTGTAAATGTGAAAGTTACTCCTGATGCAAAATAAAAACAAAAGTGGTACAAGAGAAAAAAAAAAAGGAGAACACTCAGTGGCTGGCCGGGAAGGGTACTGACAGCTTCCAGACATCCTCCTCTTAGGGGTAGGGAGGTGTCTCTCCAGTGCAGGCAGGGAAAGTGAAGATAATGATGGCAATGAATATTTTGCCATGCTTTTTTCCCCCAGCACTATACTTTTATCATCAGACTCAGTCAAAAGCCCTATTCTTATTGTTTCCCCTCACCATGTTTATGACTATTTGTGCTGACTGGAGTATGATAATCAGGCACAAATGAAGCATATTCACTGGTCGTTCAGCTTCTGTGCACATCTATGACTGCCTAATATTTACTAAGTAATTAAATGTCTTATCTACTTTGGTGGGCGCTGTGTTTGGTTTTCTGGGATATAAACTCAAATCTACACAACAAGAGGTAAGGAAAGCTGAGGGGGGATTCTCACACCAGTTCTAGTTGCTTCCCATGAGAACCTGCTAACAACGCTATGATAATCAGGCACAAATGAAGCATATTCACTGGTCGTTCAGCTTCTGTGCACATCTATGACTGCCTAATATTTACTAAGTAATTAAATGTCTTATCTACTTTGGTGGGCGCTGTGTTTGGTTTTCTGGGATATAAACTCAAATCTACACAACAAGAGGTAAGGAAAGCTGAGGGGGGATTCTCACACCAGTTCTAGTTGCTTCCCATGAGAACCTGCCATAACAACGCTATCAAGATTTGCAGGTGCAAGGCCACAAGAGCAACAATCTGAGAATAACAGCATGAGAACAAGACATGAAAAATACTGCCACAGAGGCTCTGCAAAACACTGTAACTTTTCCCTGAAGCTGTTGATGCAGAGCTGCAACAGCAGGCTATTAGCATTACTAATGCTAAGGCACTATGGTTGCTAAGGCACTGTGCAACAGGGCTATGTCTGAATTTCTGTTAATACAGAAAAGGAGGTGTAACGTCCCAAAAAACACAACTGGGGTGTAAATCACACCTCTTCCTTCTTTCCTTACTTCACCTGGAGACTAACAACACTGGAAGGAATGGACATTTTTTTTAAAAAGTCATGTCTGATCTATATTATAATGTCTTGCAAAGCTAAATTATTTAGACTCTGCTGGCTAATTTCACTTATATTCACGGAAGATCTGTTAGAACACAAAACATCAGTGTTTAGTATGTGTAACCCAAACACACATGTGTTATACCAGTGCTTGAGAATTAAAACCTGGTCTAGGCCCCTCTCTCCTATAGCCAAATGACATTCTTGGAAAGGCAGATGGTGGATATAACCAAAATCATATCAGATTTTCTTATAGAATTATTTCAATAATATTTAATTTGGTTACTTCTAGAGTACCACTGGAATTTTACAAACCAAAAAAAGAAAGAACAGAGATCCAAACACAAACAATGATCCCTCTGTAAAGATCCAGCTGCAAAAATAAGACTCGTGTTAATGACATAAATTTATGTATTTTAAGCACATTCTTATGAGCAAATGTAAATGCAAAAAAATATTTTTATCATTATAAACCTCACCTTTGAGAAAAGATTTTTTGAACTGATGCTGTAGCCTTTAAGGCTCTCGTGCAACTTCTGCAGGTGCTGCACAACTCTCCTTTGTTGCTCATCATTCCTCAGCTCTTCTTGCTTAATCAGAAAGTCATAATGTTCTAAAGGTCCACTGCAAACCAATAAGGCTCTGGCATTAGCACCTGTAGGAGTACCGGGGACTGTCTTCTCATCTGCCTGAGCTGTGTATGCTGTAAAATGAAAAGTAGACTATTAATAGAGAAGTTTTGAAAAGCATCCTCTTATATTCATAAACAATGCACATTCTTAACAGTTTACACAGACATATACACATTACTTACCTATACCACCACTAGAGTATGCTACCCCTTTGTTTTTCATGAAATCAAGTTCTAACTTTAGTAGTAAACACCTCTAGTAGTATGTTTTAACATTTATTTTTATTATTAACAAGCACAGACACTAAAAAGCCCAGCTGGGAAGTGGTAAGATTTGGATGAGCTGTTGCAAGGGAAGTTTTGACTTTTTTTTTTTCCGTAAATTGGGGCAAAACCATTTAAAAATTCCAAAGCGCATTTCTCTGAATAGATTAATCCTTTAGAGAGAGGTGGGCTAAACTAGACAGAAAGAATTTAAAAGCCCACAAACAGGAGACCAAAACAGGAGTTCTGTAAGCAAGTTGAAAGAGCCAAAGACCAAACTAAGCAAGGCAATAGCTGTGAAGCCCTGCAATGCCACAAGCCTGCTCTGCTGGCATTATCTGCTGCCTAGAAGAGACAGGGCCGTGCCCAAGCAGGAATTCTGTTTAAAAAAAAAAAAAAAAAGTCAGAATCGCTAGACATAAAATGAGATACAACTAGAAAAGGAAAGAATGTATAGGATTAAAAAGAAGGCTTGCTAAACCAGTAAGATCAGAAACTTAACAATAGAATACACTGAAAAGGTGTTCAATACCTTCTTTGCTTCCACTGCCATTTAAAAAGTTAACTATAATCATAAGTAACACAATTTGTAGCAATGATAAAAGAAATAGATTTGAGTAGGAAAAACGCATATCATAGACTACATAGTTAGATATTTTGAATGTTGTGAGATCTAAGGAAATTCATCCCTAAATGCTTTAGGTAAGTTTCCTAAGCAACACAATGGCCTCTAACAGCTTTCTTTGAGGCCTCACTGAAGGCAGGTGAGGTTCCAAAATCGTAGGAAAATGAAACAATTTTTGTCTTTAAAAAGGAGAGAAAGGCAAATGCAGAAATTCAAAGGTCAGTCAAAACAACTTCAAGACATTCAAAAATACTGGAACAAGTACAAGCAGATTTTTTTTTTTTTTTAATAAAGCACTTAATAAGATAACATAACAAATAAAAGGCAACACCAGCTCCTCAAGAACAGCATGAGATCAACAAGTTTTCCTCCCTGATCAGGTAACATGCTTAGTGGGTAGAGGAAAAACATCTTAATTGCAGTAACACTTTTGTCATTGGGTCACATAGCATTCTCATATATAAAGGAGGAAAGTAAGTTGCAAACAAAATTACTTTTGAGTAGGTACAAAAACAGCTAGAAAAACTACATGTAATGAATAATTACTACAGTTAAACTAGGTGCATATTTGCAGTAGAGTTTCAGAGAGGGCTCAGAATCTCAGCTTGGTGCAATCCAGAATTTCCATTCATGACCTGTGCATGGCAAAATAAAGTACATGGACTGGGAACACATATAACAGCAAGTCAGGAGGGGACTGCAAACACCCTGGAAGGCAAGGCAATCCTGACAAACTGGACAAAGAATCTAATACAAATAGGATGCAATTCAACAGGGACAAAGTACGGTGCTTAGGAGAAACGGGGAATGACCAGCTAAAGAGCAGCTCTGCAGAAAAGGATCCAAGGGCTACACTGGATCACAAACTGGCAGTGAGACACTATCATAACACTATTAGAAGAAAAAATAAAATAAAATTAAAAAACGCAAGTACTCTGATGTATGTATATGAGGGGCAATATAAGCACACATGAAAAAAACCTGTTCTATTCAATACTGGTATAGCCTGCCCTCGAACACACTTTTCAATTTTCACATCACATTTCATGAGAGGTATGAACTAAATGGGAGAGTAGAAGATGATTTAAAGGACTATTTGTTAAACCATGGGTCACAACCCACAGAGAAGTAAGAGGCACAAGAAGAGTTTTAAATTGTTATAAGAAACATGAAATGAATACAGTTATAAAAGAGAAGGATAAAACTGAATAGTTAGATCTTATTTATCGCAAATAACACCTTAGTTTCTCCAAAGCAAGACAGTCCCTCTTTACATCTGCAGCCAATAATTACAGCAAATTCTCCTGCCCTGAAGGAACTGAGTTACTGCTATGAATTAAAAGTAATTAGCTCATGCCTAGCTAAAGAGATCACACAGAGTTGAGTTCAAAGTCTGTTATTGCAAAAATTTGAGTAAAACCTTTAGGGAAGACTAAAGAAAAGCACACAGCTATCTCCAGATACACACAGGGTACTGAGAAAAGGAAATAAACTGTATTTATACAGTTACCTAATAACTGTAACTAAGGCAGCAAAATCAATTAATAGTCTAGAAGTTGTAAAACTTTCATTGATGGGGAGTGAATTTTAAAAATAAGTTTGACAAAATCTGTTAGGAACAGCTCAGCAATACCTGACCCGACTCCAAAGGGAAGGAAAAGGCACAGATGATCTCTCAAAGTTTTTTCATCTTGTTTTCAACATTCCACTCCCGCATAAAGTCAACCTCAGTCCTGTGATCTGTACCTCTAAACTATCTGTGCCTTCACAACACGTAGAGCTTGATAGCTCCAAGAGCTCCAATGTGAGGGACAGCCCGTGCCCCATTATACCTGTAGAGCCACCAGTTCCTACTGCTTACCATAAGATTGGAGAAAAAAAATAAAAGCTGATTTAGGGATAAGAAAGGGTTTGGGCTCATGACCTTCCTGGCCATGGACAAAGCACACCAGTAAGACTGCTCAGAAGCATGGGTTTTTGTCTCAGATTACATGTACTTACAGCTAACCATCCCGGGACTGGTAGAAAATACTTCATCATTAACAGATGGCAGAAATGGAGAGTATGTGCAAGTGATGACAGAGGGTGTCATGGGACAAACTAGTCGCTGTTCTCCTAAAATAATATTGAACACTGGGATTTAAATATGATGAGATACACTATAATACTCTACCAGGAGACACACAGTAACTGGTAAGTGATAAACTCAAACTTGTAGCTGCAAAATAAAGGCATATGCTCTTAAAAAGCATGTAGGGGTTTTAGAGGTAAGTCAACAGAAGACAGCTATTCAACTGGTAAACTATCCTAAGAGACAGAAGAAAATGTGGGTCTTCCATTCTAACCTGCATTTTGTGGGATAGATTGCAAAATCATTCACACAGCTACGCTTCTATTCCTGAACTGATAAAGAAAACTTTAGAAATTTTAATACATAGCAGAGGAATACCAGGCAACTACCTTCTATAATTTTACATCAAGGAAACTACTGTTAGAATAGGAATCACCTATGATTCAGTGCATTAATCATAGTCCTACAGCCTTCTCCTCCATATTGCAAAAGATGGGTTTTCATTTATCTCTTCCTGTTTCATTATCTAATCTCTGTATTACATAAACTGTTACTCGATTTTTATTAGCTCCCTTCCGAAATCTTTAAGCGTCACACGTAGAAAAGGCATCTTCTATCTCTGTGTAGTGTTCTAGATACGACTATAGAAAAGCGCAGCGTCAATTCATTATTCACCTAGTTTTACATAAAACAGTGTGAAACTACAGACATGCATTTATCCATAACCTATCTTTCCCACCTCCAGGGTGCTGGACAGTGTTGGATATTACCATATTTAGCCTGACATTCACTGCTTCTTTAAGAGTTGCCAGCAGGTTGCAACTTTTTATTAAATTCCTGTTCCTAAAACATACATATTTAAGTGTAATCTCATTTTATTTCAAGCCATAAAATTAGCTGCTTGCATTTGCCTTTCTGCTTGCCTATCCAAGGACCACAGACCAAGTTGCAGTGAAGACCTACTGTGATACACACAAAAAAGTCCTGCCTTGGAGAAATCCAAGGGGAAAAACTCACCAAAGCCAAAAATACTTATTAATGTATAAATGCCTAATGAAAATGCCAACCTGAAATTATAAAAATTTCCTTTAAAGTGAGGAACTTAAGACACCTTCAGTAAACTGGCATTAATTTACCACTGCAAAAACAAGTGCCTACATAAAAATGCAAAAAGAAAGTGTTCTTAACTCCAGGGACCTTCTGCTCTGGAAAAGAGCAGCAAATTGAAAAACTAATCAGTATGTTGTGGAGTCTTCCTACTGCCACTTAGAACTGATGTCTGAGATGACACAGGAAAAAGGCACGCAAGTTTCAATGACACCGCTTATGAAAGCGACAGTCACAGCTGAGGCAGGCACTGCAGTTATTTATGTAAGAAGACAATCTGAAATGGAAGCTAGGTTGTGGCATATCAAAAACTGATCTTGACAGCAGCCAGGAGGTTGAGAGCACAGAAGCGTAACCAAGGTAAACACCACTGACCCTGTTAATCCTTATTTTTTTCCTAGTAGTTGGATTTCATTGGAAGGTTTTGAACTGTGATGTCTAAAATCTGTCAAAAGAGAATTCCCATGACAAAAATCCTAGCAGGTCCTTGTCTCCCCCCTATTTCAGGGCCTAAGAAAAGAACCTGGGCTTCCCTGACATGAATTTCATCTTTGCTATCTTTTCATGACTGCAGAAACTGACAATTTTGAATTTATTAATCTGTGAGTTTTCAAGTAACACGAAAAGATTTCATGTGAATTTAAGATGATCATTCATTTCTGGGAGAGAAAAAGTATCGTACTTCCACAAATGAATTCAAATTTGGCCTGCAAGATCTCTTACTGCCATCAAACTAAATGTCTTTTAAACACGATTAGAATTTTAGACCTTTTATGGGATGAAATATAAAGAAAAAAGAAAAACCATGACAGATAGATAATATCCAGCTAAAGAAACAAAGACCAAACAAACGGAACTGAAGTACTTTTATTGCACAAGGTAAGTCATGCTTCAGATTACAATATTCACCTCACTAGAGGGTCACTCACAGTACACGTGAAAATGTGTATTACTAATTCTGTAAACAAAGTCGAAACAAGCACTTCAGGAGACTGATGATGAAAAAAAAAAAATCACCTTTAATCCTTGTGCTGTATGTATGCTTCAAACCACTCCGTCATGGGAATGATCAGAAATAGTTTTCATTCATGGAGATTAAGGCTGGAAGACAGCATTGACCTAAGTATAAGGGAAGTTAAATTTATCTAATTATCCCTGAACTACACTCAAGAATTGTGTCTGATTACAGCATATTTTGAAGAAAATATATTCTGAAGACATAAGAGATGGAGAATTAACCATTTCCAATGACACTTTGCTGTAATGGTTAATTACTGTTTGTCTTAAAGATAAAAAATATTTCCAACTAATAGTCATTCGAGAACTGCATCTAAACCAAACTCATGGAGGTTACAACTGCACCAAAGTTAATGACCTCAAAATCACCCAACTGCCATCTTTGCTGACAGTCACAATCAAGAAGCTGGAACAGCTTCTGCTAAACCAGTGTTAAGGCACCGTACAGGAATCACATCTGTTTCATTACTGCTCTGCAGACAGAATTCTGCCTTGAGAACTTTTCACAAACACTGGAATTTGTGTGGGAGTAGAAGAAAAAAAAAGGTAATAGAAAGCAACTTTTAAAAACTGTCCTGTTTTCAACAAGCCAAGCTGAAGTTCAGAATATGGGATTTGGGTCACAATGAAGCCAAACTGCTTCAAACCCCCAAACCCTTAATGTAAAGCTGCCATGACAGAAGAAGAGGACTTTGAAGTTAGAGGGCACTTTTATCAACAGGCAGATGGTGGTATCAGAGACCTCACTAAACTCATAATTAAGCTGATAACAGAACTGCTGCAAAATCTTTCCTTCTTAGATGATACCACAGTGATGGGGAAGGACAATGGTACAGTCTTGTAGCTCCAAAGGTTATTTTCCTGCAGAAGAATGGGACTGAAGGCAGCAAAAGATCAGAATTTTTTTGCATGCTAGTACCTGTAGAGAACAATAATGTTCTTGTCTCATCTTTTATTAAATACACGTGCAAGTTTTGCAGAATCAGTCTCAAACAGGTAAACTGCCCCACGGTGTACAAGGATTTGGATGAGTTAAGCACATGCATTGAAGTTAAGCACATGCATAAACCTGCAGAAGAACAAAGACTCTGCATGTAAGCTTCTCAGGAAAGAGATCATGTGGTGGTTATAAAGCAGAAAATACATTTATAGTCCTATAATAACACCAAACAATTGCTCCTTTCAAAATATTTTACAATGCTTAATGAGAAGAATGGGAGAGGAGGCCATCTGAAAAAATTATTTACTTTCCAATGCTTAATAGAATGCTTAGAAAAGCAAAGTCTGACCAACCATACCGGGAGGAGGGGGGAGAGGGGAAAGAGGCTAACTTATCTGCACAAATTGAAAATGTTAGGCCAATATCATGTACTAACAAATGAAAAAAAAAATACACCTGCTGAAATGAGCAGTTCAAATCAGATGAGGCAGGTTGCAGCTAAGATACAAGAACAAGGACTGTCCTCCCATCTTTGTCTCATGATATGACCTTAAATGAATCACTGAACCCGTATTTAGCCTCCTTGCAGTCCATTCATTCAGTATATGAAGCAGTATTTAAACTTCTAGAGAAACATATGAGTTGGAACTAGAATTCTGCTTTTTTGCATACACGCCTGTGACATTATTCTGAAATAAGATTACTTGTACTATTTCCATGCACACCCCATTTAATCTGACCTACAGATGAAAGTAGAAAAAGACAGAAAAGTTTATCAGTGAAATTGCAACTTTACACAAATACTACTTGTGAAGTCTTTTAACTAAGGAAAAGGTATAAGAGTATGGAAAGTGATCATAAAAACAAATAAAGGACTATAAACCAGTGATCATAAAAACAAGATTATAAATCAATTCAATGATGGCTGCCCACCTCTGCAGATGTCCTCAAACAACAAATGTAAGGGACTACCTTCCTTTTTAACATGGAAGCTAAAGAACTATGGCTAAAGCCACTGGATTTGCTCTAACAACTTTTTTAAAATGGTAATATGTTGATAATAACAAACAAGCTATAAAAATTTAAAGTGTTGGACCAATATCAATTTTAAAAAATCCTATACAACTATAGTGCTTATTTAATCAGCAAATCTCTTTTCAGTCTATTTTCCTTAGGATGTATAAATACTGTACAGTCACAATATAATGTGTGCACGTGAACATTTATCAACCCTCCCAGACCTGCTGACTGACTTTCAGACTCTGGCACCCACCTGAACTCAACTGAATTCCCTGACTGACTTTTGTCAGACTGGTAGAGGTCAAATAGCTCTCACTAAAGATAAAAGACGTCTGCTTCTAACCTAAGCCTCAAGTTAACAAAACCTAGTTCCCCATAAATTCGAGTATTACACTGACTTTTTAAGTCAGGCTGCCAGATAGAGCTCAGCTCTATACACCGGAGGATCCTTATGAGAAAAAAGTCCCCGAGACAGCCTAAAGCACAGCGAAAGCTTTGGCAGGCACTACCGCACTCGCCGCCCGCCCAGCTCCCGACGCAGCCGCAGCGCACTGAAGCCCTATTTACTAGGGGAAAGCGGCATCGTTAACTCGGGAAGTCGCGGGGCCGCT